CAAAAGTACTGAGTTTTACTTAAGCAAAAAGTGTCAGAGAAAGCCTGGTGTTCAAGTGAATATACAATTTCTCACAGATTTAGTGCTTTCTATATAAACAAAATAAAACACCAACCACTAGCAATAAGCGTAAGTTTTGTTTCAAATATAGGTTTGGATTGAACTATGACTGTTTTAGCATTCATCCAATCACCAGACTTTTTGCTCAAACATCATTTATAGTAGTGATATTTCTACCAGCACTTTATATGACTGCATCCTATCAATGGGCCCCATGCTGCATTCTGCATCCTATCAATGGGCCCCATGCTGCATTCTGCATCCTATCAATGGGCCCCATGCTGCATTCTGCATCCTATCAATGGGCCCCATGCTGCATTCTGCATCCTATCAATGGGCCCCATGCTGCATCCTATCAATGGGCTCCATGCTGCATTCTGCATCCTATCAATGGGCCCCATGCTGCATCCTATCAATGGGCCCCATGCTGCATCCTATCAATGGGCCCCATGCTGCATTCTGCATCCTATCAATGAGCCCCATGCTGCATTCTTTGCAGCCAATTTTCTCACCTGGCCACATTCATTTATTGGCAGGGAATCCATGCAATGTAAACAAAGGAGCAGGGATAGAACTGACCTCATTGACCAAATATGGCCACATATTTGAACAATAACATCAGTCCCCCTCCCCATTTTTTACATTTAGTTTACTGGAAGATGTCATTCATGGCAAATGTATTGACGAGATCAGGAGTGTCTTTTCTTCCTCCAGTCTGCTGGCATACTTCATCTTGATTGATGAGGATCTTCATCACTGAAGGACATGATTGATGATTTATTTACATTGTGTGCTACATGCATAACCTAAAAAGTTCTAAATCTTAAAAGCAAACTCAATTTCAATGTTCCAATGTAAAATTCATAACAGGTAGTAACGGATATAAAGAAAAATTAAAGTATATTTTCATAATTGGACTCCATCCACCTAAAACTGAAATGCCACTCACCAGACCTTTTTTACCTTTTTATTATAAGGAAAGGTAAATCGCATTTTATAGTACCTGCATGGCAGTACTTTAGCTGAATTTTGCTTCTCCTTAACCAATTCAATACCGGGCAATTTTACACCTTCCTGCCCAGGCCAGTTTTCAGGTTTCAGCACTCTCACACTTTGAATGACAATTGCGCGGTCATACAACATTATACCCAAACTAAAATTTTATCATTTTCTTCACACAACTAGAGCTTTCTTTTGCTGGTATTTAATCACTGCTGGGGTTTTTATTTTTTGCTAAATTAACAAAAAAAGACCAAAAAGTTTGAAAAAAAAAGTTTTTCTTTGTTTCTGTTATAAAAGTTTGCAAATAAATAATTGTTCTTTATAAATTTAGGCCGAGATGTATTCTACTACATGTCTTTGGTGAAAATAACCCAAATTAGGATGTATTTTTTAGTTTGTAGGAAAGTTATAGAGTTCACAAACTATGGGATAGATCTGAATATTGATCAATCCTGAAGTACTGACAGCCAATCTAATTTCTTGAGGTCCAAGAATGTCAGAACAGTACAGATATCCCCCAAATGACCCCTTTTTGCAAAGTAGACAGTCCAACATACTTCATAAGAGGCATGGCAAGTTTTTTGAAGTTGTTTTTTTTTGTCATGGTTTTTCAGAAAATTAAAAAATTAAAAAAAAATTAGTTTCACTATTTTTTTTTACATATTGTCACCAGTGCAGTACAGCGTCATCATATAACTGGCATGGCGGTGATCAGGGACACTGACTGGTGACAGTATGAAAAAAAATATATATATATTTTATTTTATTTTTTTTTTATTACATTTTTAAAAAAAAAATTTTATGATTTTTTTTTCATAGTTCACTATGACCAAAGTAGTACAATGTTACCATAGTAACATTGTACTACTTTGGGGAAGTGATCAGTATTTTTTTTTTTTTTTTTTTTTTTACACAATTTGCTTATAGCAAAGAATTACTTTGCTATAAGCAAGCATTTACCTGAATGACATCGATTCATTCAGGGTTTTTTTTTTTTTGTGCTTAGCTGTGATTTGGCCACAGCTAATCACATGACATGTGCATGTGATTAGCTGTGATCATTCACAGCTAGACACTAATATACAATGGATGGCATGAATGAAGCCATCCACTGTATACAACTGTCATGTGACCTGCTGTGATTGGTCACAGCAAGTCACATGGTATCGGCAACGGGCCCAATACTCAGATCTGTCATCGGCCGTGTCCGAGGTACACGGCCGATGACAGATCATGCCGCTGTGCCGCTCTGCAGGAGCGCAATCTGCGCATGTGTGGGAGGACGCCATATGGCATCCACCCGGAACACCGATGACATTTGCCACCCGCCATTCGGCCATAGGGCAGGCGGCAAATGGTTAAATTTCAATTTTCCAGGTTCCAAATATTGATATAGGCCAAAAAGAGGCCAAAAAGAGTATGCACCAGAATAATGGAAAATAATGTATTAATTAAAATAAAAACAAGCAAAATTACTCTCATTAAATGTGTGCAAACCAGTACTGTATGTAACATGTGCAATCAGAGGGCAATCCGAGCTCTGACACTGGTTTTTCTCTTACCCATTATAAGGCCTCAAGGCAATAAATCAATGAAGCTCTGTTTTAAAGCTCCATCTCTTTTGTGACATCAACAGACTCCACCAAAGTGTTTAGTCTCACTCGACGTTTTCTAAGGTGTAGCCATGAATTTCCCCCTTTATACACTTCATTCCCCCTTTTTATACACCTCATCACCATGTAACCCTGATGCCAGTGTCTCTATGTCTTCTTCCACTAGCATCTGCATTTCTTTGCTAGCACTAGGGCCCCTTTCACATGGGCAGGATCCATTTTTCCTAGTAGGGGATCTATCTGCTGATCCCCTGCTGAGCTTAGCAGTGTGGGTGGATGACGGGCACAGGCTTATGTAGAGCAAACATGGACACAGCCCACTCTGCTCTATGGGCAGTCGGAAATAAACTGTCCGTCTGTTTACACCTGACTGTGGGTTGAATTGGAGGTAGGCGGGGTGTAAACGGATATGTACCTGATTACATCCGAAGCTCCATAGAGGAAAATGGAGGGTCCGATTGAGGCTACCTGAAAAACCAACAGGCAGTCATAATCAGCCTGCTCATGTGAAAGGGGCCTAAGTCTATCCATCATAGATATTGAGAACTCTATTAAATAATATAATACACAGTATAACACATTATAAATTAATTAAAACAATTAATAAATAATATACACCATATACAGTATACAGTATACTAAATATGAGAAAAAATTAGGTTACAAACCAAAAAAAAACAAAGGATCCCAGTACAATTAATATTATAACCTATTAAAAATGATTAACTACTTATATTCAGTAATAAACCAAAGGGTAAAATTAATACATTGGATTATATAATCAATATACTAAACAAGGGAGCTCCAAACAAAGGCCCACAGGCCAAATTTAGACCACTACAGGATTGCATCTGGCATGCATCTAGGTTCAGACTTCCCCCCCAGCTGCACGGATATCATCCCATTATTGTTAGGACAACCTCTGTTCCAGAAACCCAGAAACCAATAACGTGATTTCTCCAGCAAAAGATGACTCTGATCTTACCTGATCACTTCCCACTGTATGCAAGAAAAGGTGGGCCACTCACATGGAATTAGATGTAAGAGAGACTCTGGTTGGTTATTTTGATGTAAGGGTAGGCTCTGATGGGGAGCTTGATGTAAAGGGGGACTCCCTTGGGGACCCTGAGGTAAGGGGGCTCTGCTGGGGACTCTAATGTAAAGGGGGCTTCACTGAGGACTCTGATGTAAGGGGGGGGCTCATAAACTGAACTCTGATGTAACAGGGCTCTGATGGGGAGACTGATGTAATGGGGGCTCTAATGTAAACTCTAATGCAAGGGAGGACCCCTAAGCTGGACTGTGATGAAAAGGAACCCTGATGTGGGTAGGGCTTTGATGGGGACTCTGATGTAAGTGGGCACTAATGGTGACTCTGATGTAAGGGGGGGCTATGTTTTACCAAAGTTCTTTGTCTTTCATTTTTAATCATATTGTGCCGATTCCAAAAAAGATCCAAGTAAAACATCCATTAAATTATTATTTGTTGATTTGCTGAAAAGTTTGGAGACCCCGGCATTAACAATTCATTTATACCATAGGATCTTCCGCATACATATACAGTATTCACAAAACACTATTTTATGGTACATTATTTTCATACTATTTTAACATAGCTTATTAAGTTGCCTCCACCTATTCCCACTGCTAAATGTTATATAAAAAACAATCAATGTGTACCTAGCATCTAAGTGCTGCTAATAAAGTAACTGATACCTATTTCTAGCTAACCTTTTTGGATGTGGGCAATCCATATTGAAAATCCACATGGCCTCCCTTTTGTATAAATCCTTTACCAAATTACTTCCCCTCCAATGATCCACAACCCTACCAATCCACCAAAACTGCTAAATTTTAGAATCCCTATTGGGGTGCTTTTTGAAATGTAGTGAAAAAGTGTGGTTTTTAGTAACCAATATAAATTGTGCAAATGGTTCTTAGAGCTTTTTCTTTAGAGCTTGTTCACACTTATGCAGAGAAAAATTCTAGTATCTGCAAAAGTACACTGAAAACAATTGCTTTCTATATGCCCTGTTCACACTAAAATTCAGACACAGATGTGGAGGATAGCTGTGCAATGCAACATTCCTGCATTTTTCAGCAATACTCAGCAGTCCCTGTCACACCTTATGTTTCTATATGACATAGTTGAGTTGAGGTGCATAGAAATTAAAGAAATGTCACTTTTGTGACAATTCAATATAGTTAAAAAATATATAAATAGTGCCTTACATTGTAAAAATACAAGGCCACACCCCCCAAAGCATGCCCAGCGCAGACAACATCCAGCACAACTGGTGTGAACTAGCTTTTAAAGCTACTCACCAGGGGCGGACTGACAACTCATGGGGTCCACTGGGCAATAGGGGATCATGGGGCCCCTGTGTCCTTGCCCAAACTCAAAAAAGCCTATGAAAAAGGTACCAGGGGCATCTCATGGGGCCCCCTACTGACCCCGGGCCCTCGGGCAGTGCCTGAATTTCCAAATGGTCAGTCCGCCCCTGCTACTCACCTTCGTGCTGCAGAATTGGTGTAATGCTGTAGCTGTCCCCTGCCAGCTCTAAAAGTGAGAACTGAGCAATCACAAGACTGCTGATTGCCCAGTTCTGTTAGTCCCCACTCTCCAATCAGCTCCTCCAGCTCTCACTAGAGCGCTGAGTTGGGGGGATGGGTGTAGCTGGCTCCAGCTCTCAGTCTTGCACTCAAGCTTTCAAGCAGATAGATGTGTGGATCCCCACAATATTGTCAGGGTCCTTCTAGAGCCTGGAGTGTTTCTGCCGTGTCAGCTGATAATGGGCAATAGCCCGCTGTCAGATCTGGGTCACAGAAGTGTGACCTACAAGAGAAGTTTGGTCAAAAAAGCTTTGGTTATGCTTTTTTTTAAGAAGCCTTTAGTCCTGCCTATTGACTGTAAGCCATTGGACATTGACGCGTGTAAATTACATGACTGGTCTCACAAGATATGAAACTTTTTATGTCATACTCCTCTCTCGTGACCACTGATAAAGAATTATTTCTCCTCCTTTTATTATCCACTCCCTTACATTCACAATGTCCACAGGCAAAAACCCCTTTTCATTAAAAAAATAATAATTTCTTCTATATTATACATTAAAATTAGTGTAAAAAGTTGTTTGTGTTTCCTTCTTATTGTCTTTATATTAATTTTATGATGTAAAATCACCTCTCTGGATGTTCTATTAAGCCTATTAATTTCCTGTTCTAGAGCCTCTTTCTTATGCCCCATATGTAAAAATCTGTGTATTATTTCCGCCTTTTCCCAAAAATCATTTCATTTCATGCAATTTCTTTTTATTCACATGAATTGACCCCATGGGATATTTTTCAGCCAAATAGGATTATGGTAGCTTGTTAGTTGTTAGTGGTAGGTAACTATTCTTTTCAGTTTTATTAAAATAAACTTTACTTTATAATAAAACCCTTTTATAATTTACTCATAAAGATGTTGGCATAAGAAAATTAACTGCCTCCCTACTATACTGGTGGGGACTCTAAAATTTGTATCATTATTATTCTCACAAATAGGCACACACATGCTTCTGATCCTCTCCATACCATGATTACATCATCTAAAAATGTTTTATAGAAGATTAGTTCAGGTTTCCTACTGGAAAAAAGTACCAGCTCTTACCATTCTGCCATGAATATATTGGCTAGACTGAGAGCAAAGTTTTCTTTAAAGGACTTTTACTATCTTCACGTATGTAATACATATTATGAATTTTGAACTGATCTTTTAAAACTAAATTCTGTTATGTGATTTAGAGCTTTTTTGGTTAGGTACTTTATTTCACGATTGGTGGTGGGTATGTTGCTCTGTTTATTTATAAAGAGCTACATTTGTGGGATTGTGTATATTATGTGTCAACAGGGCTTAAGACATTTGGGTGTAGCAGCAGGGGATCTGATATTTCTTTGCTTTTGTTTAGCGTGTGCCATTACTTTTAGTGTGGGCATTGTATGTAGCACACAGAGCTTTGCAAAATTCTTTTATGATATATTATACACATTTGTATTAAAAGCAGAGTGCACTCAGAAAAATAAATGATTGGAATCAGTATTTATTATGCCAAGCAACTGGAAATTTTATTTTGGTTATGTTGGCTATATTTAACTTATGACTAAATATTTATTTGCTGCAAACAAAAATGTTATGTGTGTATTAATCAAGGATTTGATTATTTTTATTTAATTTTATTTTGGGTAACCTATGAATTATTTCCTTTGGGCAGGAAGGTGATTAGCTTTGTTGTCTTGAAGTGCAGGGGTCCTTGGTTTGTTTCCCACTGAGGTTACTTTCTATGTGGAAGTTTTGATTGAACAAATACAATGAATATTTTTTAGACTAATTTATATACTCTTATGTACTATTAAAGGGGAATTGCAATTTCCTGTTTATTGTTGAAGAATTTTGCCTCTATTGTGTAATTTAAACACAATGAGATTTCACCACCCCCAACATATACACGGGTCCCCCCCCCCCTCCAGTAACTGACCCTTCACTTCCCAGTATCCACACAAGCAGAGAGATGGCTCCTTTGATCTTTCAGCACACAGAGTGTACACAGGAATGTATATGCTTTGACCCCTTAGTACCCAGTTTACAAAGCATCTTCACTAACTCCCTCAGTGGCCAGCAGGATCATTACTTGGATTATGAAAGACGTTAGGCATACAAAACGTTTCTCTCTGTGAATCTGCATTGATTCAATGTGCACCCCTTTCCCCCTCCCTGATTCACAGCTAGAGCTGTGCCATCAGCAGGGAACACAAGCATTGTGATTGTATAGCTATAGCTGCAGTGAGAGAAGGGGGAATGTTGGACTGCTGAGGGGAGACCACTGTTTCCACACAGAAATCAATGGTCCTTTCTGCATCTGTATTCTTAAGGAGTGGAGTTTGGAACGGCGCTATAGAGTAATGTACTTATAACTTAAAACAGAGCTCCACCCAAAAGGGAAAGTTCCGCTTTAAACCTTTGTTCCCAGCTCCCCATTAAGGATTGGCACCTTTGGGGAGCGGGGCCCGAGTTTGACAGGTACCCACTCCCACTTCCGCTACAATCGCCCAAGAGATCTGAAGTAGAAGTTGTCCTCCCCGTAGTCTTCTGGGACACGTGACATATACTATGTTGTTTTGTAATCCTTTATGTTTATCGATATTGTCTAAGTATATTTATCCTCCCTAGATATATTGCTAGCCCCTGAAGAAGCAACGGTCATCACGAAACATGTCGGGCTCTGCCTGCACAACCTGAATATCCCCTACCTCTTTGAAGGATTACTTTGTTGGTACTATCCATATTGCTACCATCTTTTGCAATCACTCTATGTGGTCGGTGGGTCATGGGATATTAGCTGTGGGCAAGTTGTGCAATGATATCATACAAGATAGATTTTAGAGATGATGTAATGTTAATAAAGGAACATTGATTTTATATTTTTGTGTACAGAGTTTCTGTGCCTAGAAAGTCTATTTCCACATTCTTCCTCTCAATATTCTATACAGGGACGTGGCACTCTGTTACCTATTGGGGTTGACCTCCTACCACCTGAGGGTCATCCCAACCTTCCAATATATTAGGTCCCAGAAGACTACGGGGCCATTCACAAAGTGCGGCGTTTCTCGTGCAGCGTTTCTCGTAGGCAGCCAGCTGTGAAGACGCAAGCTGTCACAGCCGGGTGCTCACACTGAGGATGCTGGAGCCGGGGAGAGAAGACGACTGGTGAAACCAGTCGTGATGAGGACACCGCTGGACCGAGGGACAGATATGTGTATGTATTTTAAAAAAAACAGCAGCTACAGTTTTTGTAGCTGCTGACATTAATTTTTTTTTTCAGCTGGAACTCCGCTTTAACCTCCCTGGCGGTATTCCCGAGTGTAGCTCAGGGTAAAGTTTCAGTACCACAAGTGGTAACCCAAAGCTACACTCGGGCTTACCATGCGGCGCTGCTCCAGGATCCCTCGATCACTTACCTTGTCCTGCGCTCCCGCGATGTCCCTCCTGCAGTGTCCCCTGCAATGTAATCCAGCGGATGCCGGCATCTGTCATCTGGGTTCCATCCCCTGCGAGCGTCGGGACGTATGGGGGACGGAATGGCGGGAAATTTGAAAATGACAAAGTGACATTCACTAAAATCACTAAAATCACATAGTAAACCATTACTGTATCAAACCAATTCACATACATTTTGTCCCGAGTGCTTTGTCCTGTGCCCTGCCTGCATTTTTACAGTTCTTTCTGCCTGAAAACTGAGAAACGTCCATGGTGTCCAAAAAGCGTCCCTTTATGTCAAAATCTGTTTTAGACCAACTAGAGAACAGCAATAGTAAATTAGAACTACTTGCAGAATTGAGTGATGATTTGTGGGGAAATTCGTCATCAGACACTGAAAACGATTTTGCGACTTTGCTCAGTGATGTGCGAACTTGGCGCTATATTTCAAATTTCAGTGTTTTTGGTTTGATTATATTATTGAATTAAATTTATTATTATTATACTATTATTTTTTATGATTATTTATTAAATTATAATTTATGATTTCGTGTTTCAAGTTTTATCCTACCCGGGATGTTTATTAGATTCTTGTTCAGACAGATTTCAGTGAGTTATTCCTAAAAATTACGGCCTACAATAAAAAATATACATATTTCCATGCAAAAAAATGTACCGCTTTGAGCACAGAAATATGGACATAACCAGACTGCTAGGGAGGTTAAGGACATTTCACCTTTCTGCACCATATTTAGTGTATCTAGCTAGTTAAAAAAATAACTTTAGTTTGTCTTGAAATTATTCAATTTCCCTGCAAAGTACTGCTAAAAAACTTGTTCTGAGCAGCTTATTACTTTTGTTGTATCATCTATTTAGCTTCAAAATAAAAGTACAGTACGTACTGCATATACTTGTCAGCTGAAACATGTCCCAATGTATCTTATATTTTTAATTTGCATGTGCATTTATTATTCCAAAATGTTTACTTCGGATAACTATAATTCTACACCTCACAGATAAAGCATATGTTAGACTTTTTTTTTAAAACTTATTGTCTCTTCTATATTTTTGGTGGCTAGAAATAGGAATCCAACTGCACAAATTTAGATTTATTCCTAAAAGCACTGATTCACAAACAGAGAAAATGTCATATTTTTTACAATGTAACATCTGCTTTCCAGTATAATTTCTCTACCTGTGTACTGAGTCATCATAGATCTTGACATTTTTCATTTCAAGTACTAGTTTGCCCATATTGCTTACCTCAGACATATGATGAGGGCTCATAGTGATTGTTTACGTTGGATGGTCACATTAATTCTGGTAAAGGGCTTTACTGCTCATTGTGGGGTAGATTTACTAAAACTGGTGCACTCAGAATCTGATGCAGCTGTGCAAGGTAGCCAATCAGCTTTTAAAGTGTTACTAAACCCAGGACCCTGCATTCAATATATCTGGTCTCCCAAAGTACACAGAACATGGAAGCACAA